ATCTAAAATTCCTAGCGGGTGACCCTTGGTCATAATCATAAGAATTGAAACTTTGATAGTGGATAGGGTGTTGTGCTGTTACTTTTAGTTGTTGAGTGGCACCAAATATATTGGCCAAAAGATTTGTTACATTTTGGTTTCTTCCTGTGGGAGGTTCTGATTTGGGGATTTGCCGCTTAAACTTGCACTTTTCCTGGTAATCCCTACAATCTCTAATATATTTCTTTCTTTTCTTAATTTTCTGTTCTTTCTCAATATCCTCTAGATAGACTTTCAGCTTGTTGGATTCAGTGTTGTAATGTGGGTTCAATTTTTCTCTCACTTTATTAATCTCAATATCTAGATGGATTAATTTCTCCTTTTTTTCTTGAGAAGGTCAAGTCCCATATTGTTGAAAAATTGAAACAATTGGGTTTCACTGTTGATGTACTCTGTTTCAGAAGAGATTTCTCATCTAAGGGATCTAGGTACCATATTTTCTTTTATATATCTCTCTAAAAAGGAGACATCCCATACGGTTCTAATTTCTGCGGAGGTAACATTTTGTAGATGTAAAAATAGCCCTCTAAGTTCATGTCATTAGTTTTAGAAAAGACATCATCAGGGATGATGGACCTCGAAGACCTGATCTCAAAAATATCCATATTAATTAAATTAGATATTAGCAAGTGATAAAGATATTAAGCAGCTCAACTAAAAAAAATGGTATGATAAAACGTGAAGAATAAAAGACTCAGCGAGCACTCAACATAAAATAGCAGCTATGCACCATACAGGAAACCATAAAACCTTCAAAAAGACATATAATAAAATATTTGTGCAGCACTAAAATATAAATAGTCCTGATATGTATATAAACATTATGTATTTCACTTATACACATTTAAAATATACCCTCATAAAAACTGCCATTTTGACGAAGTGGTGCATCTTACATATAATAGACATTAGATTATTGCAATACCCATGTACAAACTGGCAAGTGTTCATCATATAGACACAAAAATTTCTTCACAAAATGCCCTCACATCAGAAGAACCCAACGCATTTCAGTTTATTCTTTGCAAATCTTCTTCAGGAAAAGGGTATGCCAATAAATATCTTAGATGTGTCACTTCAAAGCTTCAGCAAAAAAAACTAAAATGGATACCATATCCTCGGACCTCTTATTCCCTGGGGTGCCACAGGGATGGTATATTTGCACACAAGGGAACACAGGGATATCCAAGACCATCCAGGAGGCAACCACCCAGAGCAACAACATCAAAAGATTTCAGTGTCCTTGCACCAAATGACAACCCATATGTACGCCTTCGATAGCTGCATGTTTGCAAGTCTGCTCTGCAAGTGTCAGTGGCCACAGCAGAGAAAAGTCAGGTGTCCTTCGGTGTCAGACAAGTGTGTGGTGGAGTTGGCTACATTCCACCACTGGATGCATGGAACTACAAATCCTTTGGCAAATAAACACTATTATATTTATTTTATCTATGTATTCAGATGTTTGCCTGAAGTTCAACTTTAAGGCTGAATTGCAGCCATTAAGAACCTAACATGTAAATGCAAAGAATAAAAAAGAAAGACTCCTGTAAATTGATTCCTTTAATTTTCTATTATAGTCCCTTGAGAACAAAGACTGCACTGTATCCCCATTAAAAAGAAAAAACTGGCATACAAAGAAAAAACTGGTCACCTACCCAGGTCTATAACTGGATTTTTAAACAGTGAACATGGAAGGCGTCACAAAGTAAAAAATAGGACTATCCAGTTCAACTTGCCAGCCTACCCCAGTCTAATAATGGCTATTGTCGGCAAGGAACATGGATAAGTATAACTTATCAAAAGAGGGGGATAAGAAAGCCAGTTCAAACTGCCAGCCAGTTAGCCAACTATCAAAAACCAAATTAACCTGTCTAAGAACATGCGTTTAAAAACAGGGGTTTAGTTAGCACACATTTGCAAATACATACTTAAGCCACAGAGCCACATCACGGCACCCTGAGTATCTGTGGTCCTAGCTCTATAAATCTTGTATCCCCATTACTTTGTTGTGCCAGTGCTGGTGAAGTTTCTGGATCTTTTATTTCTAGACAAATATACCCCCACACAGGGGCTGACTGACAACTCATGGGGCCCCCGGGTAATAGGGGATCATGGGGCCCCTGTGTCCTTGCCCAAACTCAAAAAAGCCTATGAAAAAGGTACCAGGGGCATCTCATGGGGCCCCCTACTGACCCAAGGCCCTCGGGCAGTGCCCGAGTTTCCAAATGGTCAGTCCGCCCCTGCCTCCACATATCCCAGATGTGCGTTCATATTTCCTACAGTAGCCTTGTCATCACAACAGGTCGTCATGATATTATTGATGCCAGAACACAGTTTGGAAATACAGTAGCTGAAATGGCAAGAGCATTTTTAGACTCTCCAAAATCCAACCACTGACAAATATTGCAAGATCCTGATGCAGCTGAAGGGACTGCTGACGTCACTCATGGATTCTAAAGTTCTCAATGTGGCATCTCTTTTATAGATTGAGTAGTGGATCCAGGGAATATCCAATTGCCTCTCTGGGGATTAGGGAGGAGTTTTTTCCCCTGCAAGAGCAAATTGGATCATGCTTTGCTGGGGTTTTTTGCCTTCCTCTGGATCAACTGTGGGTATAGGATTATAACTTTTTTTTTTTAATGGTTGAACTGGATGGACTTTTGTCTTTTTTCAGCCAGACTAACTATGTAACTATGTAGTGCTGCAAAGTGCAAGTAATCTAATTTTCTCTGCATTGACACAAGCCTTAAAGTGTTACTAAACCCACATCAGTAAAATCAGTCTGTATATGCAGTAAAGCATGCTTGTTACACTCACTGTGGAACCTAAGGGGTTTATCCTCTGCATTGTGTAAAAAGGCTGTTCTGTAGTCACATGCACAGTTTGGTGTGTATTGCCAGAGAGGTGTTTTTTTTCTCTTGGGAGAGTGCATGTGATCAGCACAGGGCCAATCAGCACTGTCTAGACCAGGGGTGGGCAAACTTTTTGACTTGAGGGCCGCAATGGGTTCATATATTGGACCCGGGGGCCGGACCAAGAGTAGATTATAGTAATTCATCCCCCATAGTAATTCATCCCCCATAGTAATTCATCCCCCATAGTAATTAATCCCCCATATAGTAATTCATCCCCCATAGTAATTCATCCCCCATAGTAATTCATCCCCCATAGTAATTCATCCTCCATAGTAATTAATCCCCCATATAGTAATTCATCCCCCCATATAGTAATTCATCCCCCATAGTAATTCATATAGTAATTCCCCATATAGTAATTCATCCCCCATATAGTAATTCATCCCCCATAGTAATTCATCCCCCATAGTAATTCATCCCCCATATAGTAATTCATCCCCCATAGTAATTAATAGTAATTCATCCCCCATAGTAATTCATCCCCCCCATAGTAATTCATCCCCCATAGTAATTCATCCCCCATAGTAATTCATCCCCCATATAGTAATTCATCCCCATAGTAATTCATCCCCCATAGTAATTCATCCCCATATAGTAATTCATCCCCCATATAGTAATTCATCCCCCATAGTAATTCATCCCCCATAGTAATTCATCCCCCATATATTCATATATTCATTCCCCCATAGTATATTAATTCATCCCCCATATTAATTCATCCCCCATAGTAATTCATCCCCCATAGTATTAATTCATTCCCCATATTAATTCATCCCCCATATTAATTCATCCCTCATATTATTTCATCCCCATAGTACTATTCCCCCCCAAGTAGTAAGCCAAGTCCCCCATGTGTCAATTTACTTACCTTTGCTCCGCGCGTTCCTCTCGCCGTGTTCCCGCGCCGTTCCGGTCTTCAGGGCGGACTGTGAAAGGAGCCTAGCTCCCCTCACGCTCGTCACGCTGCCCCGCCTACACACATCCTGACAGCCATCCTGACAGTATCACGCTCCGCGGGCCGAATTAAAAGGTCCGCCGGGCCGTAGTTTGCCCATTGCTGGTCTAGACAGAGGGTCAGGACTTTCACATCCTCCTAGAACAGAAAGAAAACTCCTCCTACAAGCTTTAACCAGAGCTCTGCTGAAGTCACAAAACTGCTATAACTGCTGATGAGAAAAGGTATTTAGCAGTTTATATTTACTAAAATAATTGCATTTCCATGTTGCGTGTACTGTGGGAGACCAGATATACTGAATTCAGGGTCCTGCATTTAGTAACACTTTAATGTTGCTTTAAAAACAAATTGAGTGAGATTTAAAATTAACATGTGATAAAAATAAAACTATTTGCGGTGTAAATGTTGGCTTTATAAGTAAACAGATTCCATGCTTTATTTTGGTCTTCTGTTTCACTTTACAGCCTCTTATTGTATTTTTCTACATACTACTACTGCTTAAAGCAGAGCTCCACCCAAAAGGGTAAGTTCCGCTTTAGGGACTGGTCCTCCGCTCCCCTTAAGGATTGGCACCTTTGGGGAGCGGGTACCCAAAATTGAAATGTACCTGCTCCCGCTTCCTCTGCGATCGCCTAGGCAATCGGAGGCAGATAAAATATATAGAAAACTTGCGCCAAAGGAATAAATGAAAAATAAATGCTGCTGTTCAGAAATTGCCTAAACATCAAAATATACTCATATAATTGATACAGTGCAAATAATACAAATAATAAAAATGTGAAAAATTATATATTCAAGTCCAACAAAAAAGTCGCAAATTAAAGTCCAATGTCCCAAAAATTTGTGAAAAAAAATATTTTATAGAACTGTAACTCAAACTTCATAAGTTGTCCAGCATGCTCACATCTTCTGTGAAAAAAACATTTGATCCACACTCACCAAATACTGTGAATTCCCAAACTAATATAGCTTTAAGAGACAAAAAGACAAGCCTGCAGGTGGGGTGTGGCATCCTCAGAAGTTGTAATACTCCTTAACCACCTCCCTCCCTCCATATAGTCCAATGACGGGCACAAGGTGGTTCTCTCGTTCTGAGAGGACGTCATATGACGTCCTCCCATTCTCACCGCGCATGCGCGGCTCAGGGAGCGCGCAGCGTGGCGATCGGCAGTGTGCTGTGTCCCTTGGACACAGCCGATCATCAATCACGGAAAGAGCTCGGTCATGTGATCACCTGTGTCCAATCACAGCTGATCACATGTAAACACGGAAATGCCGGTTATCGGCATTTCTCTCCTCTCGAGCTGTCACGCTCGGTAATCGGCTTTCCGCGGAGGGGACATGTACACTGATCATCAGGGCACTGATGATCAGTGTGCCCTGATGATCAGTGTAGCCCCAGCAGTGCCACCTGTCAAAGTCCATCAGTGCCAGCTGTCAGTGCCGATCAGTGCCACCTGCCAGTGCCTATCAGTGCCACATGAATGCCACATACCAGTGCACATCAATGCCACATATCAGTGCCCATCTGAGCTGCCTTTCAGTGTCATCCATCAATGCCAATCAGTGCCACCTATCAGTGCTGCCAATCAGTGCCGCCTATCAGTGCCAGTCAGTGCCGCCTAACAGTGCCATATATCAGTGCCATGTATCAATGCTGCCTTTCAGTGCCCATCAGTGATGCCTGTCAATGCCCATCAGTGCCACCTACCAATGCCTCCTCATCAGTGCCCATCAGTGCCACCTATCAGTGTCCATCAGTGCAGCCTATCAGTACCCATCACTGCAACCTCATTAGCGCACATCAGTGAAGGAGAAAAATCACTTATTTACAAAATTTTATAACAAAAACTAAGAAAAAACTTTTTTTTCCAAATTTTCAGTGGTTTTTGGTTTGTTTAAGAAAAAATAAAAAACCCAGAGGTGATTAAATACCACCAAAAGAAAGCTCTATCTGTCACAAAAAAATGATAAAAATTTCATATGGGTACAGTGTTGCATGACTGCGCAATTGTCATTCAAAATGTGACAGTAGGCTAGTGGTTAGGCTTTTTCTCACTGACTCTCATAAGGTTGTTAGACACCAATTTTCATGGAATTTTATGCCTCCTAAATCACAGATGATAATCCATCCTTAACTTCCTCCAAGCTCTCACTCATGGATGAACGGATGGATGGATAGGGGTACTTTGTGACCAGCTTGTAACTCTTAAGCCTTCGCCAATAAATCCGCCAATAAATCCACCTTAGTTTACCCCAAATTCATTCTCATGGATGGATGAAAAATGCAAAAGAAAGGATGCCAAAATAGCATAATACTGTTAAAAAAAACTTTTAATACTCAAGTGATGCTCCAAATGCACTCACAAGTTAAAACTGAATTTAAAGCCTTTTTGTAAATAAATCAGGACTCCTAAAACTTGTTCCAATAGCCCTTCTGACAATTCCTTGCACTTCTCACGCATGTGCAGTGAGCACCCGACTGTGAAGCCACAAGCCGGGTTGCCCACACTGAAGATACCAACGCTGGGAACACAGGGTGATTGGTGAAACAAACTGCAGGGAGGACACCGCGGGATTGGGGAACAGGTAAGTGTCCGTTTTTTTCAACTGCTTTAACTTTCAGTACAAGTGTACATACTGTATATGTAACTGTTTTCTGAACTGGTATGGCCTGAGGTCTCTGTAGACCTCAACTATGAGAGACAAAATGAGAAAAAAAATCCAGACAATCACATTGGCTGATTTGGAAATAATTTATTTGCAAATTATGGTGGAAAATAAGTATTTGGTCACCTATAAACAAGCAAGATTTCTGGCTCTCACAGACCTGTAAATTCGTCTTTAAGAGGCTCCTCTGTCCTGCACTCATTACCTGTATCAATGGCACCTTTTTGAACTTGTTATCAGTATAAAAGACACCTGTCCACAACCTCAAACAGTCACACTCCAAACTCCACTATGGAGAAGACCAAAGAGCTGTCGAAGGACACCAGAAACAAAATTGTAGACCTGCACCAGGCTGGGAAGACTGAATCTGCAATAGGCAAGCAGCTTGGTGTGAACAAATCAACTGTGAGAGCAATAATTAGAAAATGGAAGACATACAAGACCACTGATAATCTCCCTCAATCTGGGGCTCCACACAAGATCTCACCCTGTGGGGTCAAAATGATCACAAGAACAGTGAGCAAAAATCCCAGGACCACACGGGGGACCTAGTGAATGACCTGCAGAGAGCTGGGACCAACGTAACAAAGGCTACCATCAGTAAACACACTACGCCGCCAGGGACTCAGATCCTGCAGTGCCAGACGTGTCCCCCTGCTTAAGCCAGTACATGTCCGGGCCCGTCTGAAGTTTGCTAGAGAGCATTTCGATGATCCAGAAGAGGATTGGGAGTATGTCATATGGTCAGATGAAACCAAAAGAGAACTGTTTGGTAGAAACACAACTCGTCGTGTTTGGAGGAGAGAGAATGCCGAGTTGCATCTAAAGAACACCATACCTACTGTGAAGCATGGGGGTGGCAACATCATGCTTTGGGGCTGTTTCTGCGCAAAGGGACCAGGATGACTGATCCATGTACAGGACAGAATGAATAGGGCCATGTATCGTGGGATTTTGAGTGCAAACCTCCTTCCATCAGCAAGGGCATTGAAGATGAAACGTGGCTGGGTCTTCCAACATGACAATGATCCCAAACATACCGCACGGCAACGAAGGAGTGGCTTCATAAGAAGCATTTCAAGGTCCTGGAGTGGCCTAGCCAGTCTCCAGATCTCAACCCCATAGAAAACTTTTGGAGGGAGTTGAAAGTCCGTGTTGCCCAGCGACAGCCCCAAAACATCACTGCTCTAGAGGAGATCTGCATGGAGGAATGGGCCAACATACCAGCAACAGTGTGTACCAACCTTGTGAAGACTTACAGGAAACGTTTGACCTCTGTCATTGCCAAGAAAGGATAATAAGTATTGAGATGAACTTTTGATATTGACCAAATACTTATTTTCCACCATAATTTGCAAATAAATTCTTTCCAAATCAGCCAATGTGATTGTCTGGATTTTTTTTTCTCATTTTGTCTCTCATAGTTGAGGTCTACCTATGATGCCAATTACAGGCCTCTCTCATCTTTTTAAGTGGGAGTACTTGCACAATTGGTGGCTGACTAAATGCTTTTTTGCTCCACTGTATATTTCCATGTACTTGGATATAAGTCCACCATCTGTACAACTACTCAATATAGAGGGTACAGCCCTTCCCAATTAGCCGCAGTTGCCCTCCCACCAGGAATCACCATAAATTATAGGGCTAGCACAAATTGGCTGTTGCAATATATGGAGACAGCAGCTAAGCATACAGTCCAGCTGCCCACATTTCTTTGAGAAGTGAAAGGAGATACTTAGCCATCTGGGTCAAGCACATGTTGTCCAACTCATCCTATGAGGTATGTAAGGTCTGGTTCATCTATGAGGCACATGTAGTCTGGTCCATCTTGAAAAGGAAAATCCGGAGAGGGGGGGAGGCCTCCCCAAGGTGCTGGAAATGGGGATGAAAAGACAACCTGACCAGTTTTGCCAGTCACACTGGCTGCATCAGAGTATGACCTTTTTTTCACAGTCCTGGGTTGCCTTTTTAAATACTGGTCTAAAAATGGCCACCATTGGTGCACATTACCTTTTTCCAAGATAAAGTACTTGAAACATTCACTTAATGAGAAGGACAGCATTATCAACCTTATTTAAGTTCCATTGGAACAGAGTACAGCTGGTGAATATAAGTCGGACTGTTCTGGGCTAGTAAGTGACCCTGTCACTTTGTCCTAAATGAGCAAACTGACAAGTCTCTTATAGGCTGTTTATGTACTGTGTTTGTTTTAGGTACAGTGCATGCTTTCTACATCTTTGATGTGGTGTCAACCAAACTGTGCATTACATAGTTAATTACAAGTTAATTAGTAATTCATGTAAACACACTAAGGATCCATGCACACTATAAGCCTTAATGCACTACAACCTCAACACACCTTTAGAGTACAGATGTAAACAGAGTCTAAAGTAATGTAGCCATCTCAAGTTTGTCAGTTTCAGATGCCAAGGGTAAGAGGAAAATCTAACAGCAGTGTGGAGACAAAGCATGAACAAGTAAGAACTGCTAATTCAGCAGTTTAGAATCCTAACAATTGTATTTTGTGAATGATATATCTACAGACCTGACAAATCTGCTTGCATATGTTAATAAGAAAAACTCACAATACATTAATTTGCCTGCTTTTTAACCTCTATGGTTCACTGAACAGTATTATAAACTAAGCAGATTTGTATATAAACATTCCTGAATGATCTTTTACAAGATGATCACAGAGACCTCAGGCCTTACCAGTTCAGAAAACAGTTACATATACAGTATGTACACTTGTACTGAAAGTTAAAGCAGTTGAAAAAATGGACACTTACCTGTTCCCCAATCCCGCGGTGTCCTCCCTGCAGTCTGTTTCACCAATCACCCTGTGTTCCCAGCGCCGGTATCTTCAGTGTGGGCACCTGGCTTGTGGCTTCACAGCCGGGTGCTCACTGCACATGCGTGAGAAGTGCAAGGAATTGTCAGAAGGGCTATTGGAACAAGTTTTAGGAGTCCTGATTTATTTACAAAAAGGCTTTAAATTCAGTTTTAACTTGTGAGTGCATTTGGAGCATCACTTGAGTATTAAAAGTTTTTTTTTAACAGTATTATGCTATTTTGGCATCCTTTCTTTTGCATTTTTCATCCATCCATCCATGAGAAATGAATTTGGGGTAAACTAAGGTGGATTTATTGGCGAAGGCTTAAGAGTTACAAGCTGGTCACAAAGTACCCCTATCCATCCATCCGTTCATCCATGAGTGAGAGCTTGGAGGAAGTTAAGGATGGATTATCATCTGTGATTTAGGAGGCATAAAATTCCATGAAAATTGGTGTCTAACAACCTTATGAGAGTCAGTGAGAAATTGCCTAACCACTAGCCTACTGGGCACTTATACCCCATTCCTGCCCAGGCCAATTTTCAGCTTTCAGCGCTGTCGCACTTTGAATGACAATTGCGCGGTCATGCAACACTGTACCCATATGAAATTTTTATCATTCTTTTGTGACAGATAGAGCTTTCTTTTGGTGGTATTTAATCACCTCGGGGTTTTTTTTTTATTTTTTCTTAAACAAACCAAAAACCACTGAAAATTTGGAAAAAAAAAAAGTTTTTTCTTAGTTTTTGTTATAAAATTTTGTAAATAAGTGATTTTTTTCTCCCTCACTGATGTGCACTAATGAGGCTGCAGTGATGGGCACTGATAGCTGCACTGATGGACACTGATAAGTGGCACTGATGGGCACTGATGAGGCACTGGTAGGTGGCACTGATGGGCATTGACAGGCATCACTGATGGGCACTGAAAGGCAGCACTGATACATGGCACTGATAGGCAGCACTGATAGGCGGCACTGACTGGCACTGATAGGCGGCACTGATTGGCAGCACTGATAGGTGGCACTGATTGGCATTGATAGGTGGCACTGACTGGCACTGATGGATGACACTGAAAGGCAGCTCAGATGGGCACTGATATGTGGTATTGATGTGCACTGGTATGCACTGATATGTGGCATTCATGTGGCACTGATAGGCACTGACAAACTTGAGATGGCTACATTACTTTAGACTCTGTTTACATCTGTACTCTAAAGGTGTGTTGAGGTTGTAGTGCATTAAGGCTATATAGTGTGCATGGAGCCTTAGTGTGTTTACATGAATTACTAATTAACTTGTAATTAACTATGTAATGCACAGTTTGGTGGACACCATATCAAAGATGTAGAAAGCATGCACTGTACCTAAAACAAATTTAATTATTAGTTTGCATAGACCTTAAGGGTTCAATATCCAATTCTTAGAGGATCATAAGGGTTTCCCGTAGGATATTGAAGAAATAATAAAATTAAAAAATGAGTTCAAAACAGTGTAAAATTCCTAAATAAAATAAGCTATACAAACATAAATCATGGTTTTGGATAATCCCTCTTATGCAAGAAATCCCCTGTCTTCTCAAGCTATACAACTAACTCCTTGGTTGTGGGATAAACCAGTCTACCCCAAAACAGGGCCTTTAGGGAGGAAGAAATGTCTAGTATGCAGCTAGACAATCGCCCCAAAGATTGATAATAGACCAAATGGGGCAACACTAACAGTTCATATTAGAGTGTCTACTTCGATTTCCTTGTTGAGTCCGCCTGGGGTAAATGTCCCTAAAGTGTAAATTCAGAAAGTCTCCCTTTGGCACAAACATTTGAAATGTTCAGCCTCGGGGAGCATCCTGGAGATTGACTAAATAACCCACACTGTGAGACCCTGGGTTGAATTTTGATGGTGTTCAAGGAAGTGTCTGGGAACACTGTTTTTATTACAGCCTTCTTCAATAAAACGTCTATTTTCTTCAGTGTTTGCATAAGGTTCTGATGGTTCTCCCAACATAACAAAGACCACATCTGCATAGGAGACCATAAATTACATATTCAGAGGAACAATTTTGACATGTTTATGGCATAAGTTTTACCCTTCATGGTAAACTCCTTCTGACCATGCATCATAAATAAACAAGTAAGACACAATTTTTTCTTGCATCAGTACATGCCCTTGAGAGTCAGAAAATTAAGATTAATCTTCTTGGGTAGTGTGAGAGGTTTTAATTTTACTGGGGGCTACCTTGCTTTTCATGTTCTGAGCCTTAATTTTGGGCCGGAGGTAAGGGAGGATTGTAAGATGAAGGGGTCTTCAAGAAGGATGGGTCAGTGTTTACGAAATACTTTTTCCATTCCTCTGTATTTAACATGAAATTGTGTGGTGAATCTAATGGGCTGTTGTTAAATCTAAATTATGATTCGGCATTTATATTGATGGCAAGCTTGCAAAATATTTGGTTTTTATGATTAGTCATAATTAATATTAATATGTGTAAGTGGTCTTTGACAAATGGTAGTATTTACTATTCTTCAATTATAGCTGAGACCAAAAGATATACCAGTTGAAGGTTGAGTATACTATATTTAGGCATAAAAGTATTTGGTAGTTATGTCAAGGTTATTAGAAGTGACTTACTATTACATTACGTATTTTAATGGTATTTGTGTATATTTAGTATACGTTTCTAACATTGATACATTTACGTCATTAGCTTATAATATTGGTACATCAGCATACATATGTTCCTGTCCATCAAACATCATATGAATAGCATCCTTTCCTTATATGAAATGGCTTTGCTAAGCAGTAATACTTTCCATAGAAGGTATTAAGATCACTAACTATGACGTACATTTGCCTCATAAAAGACCATCGGAGAACGGACAGAGAGACACTCACTCACACACACACTTACGCGCTACATGACTTGCATACACACGTCTGAGAAGCTGCAACAGGTGCATACTGAGATCACTTCAGGTTACAATATAGTCACATCCGGCTTCTCCTTCTTCACAAAGTCATTGAGAAGGACAGCATGGAGTATCGCACATGGCAAGGACAGAACAGCCATGACAATAATGGTGACTTTGTTTTAAACGTTTGCTTGTCATTTTTACAATAGTTTTATCTACATGGAACTGTTCATAATACGCTTTACATTGTTTATTTGACACCATTGTGTGATAGAATAAAATCACACTTCATTTTTTATTTCAATGGCTCTTTCATTCATAATCGCCTCAAGACACTAGAAGAAGTATTATATGTGTCTAAAAATCCAACAGCTGTGTGGTATGGGAAGTGATCAAATTTCTCTTCTGATTAGGATCTTTTTTGGAATGCTTCCTGGACAAGGGGAATAGATACTCCTTATCCAGAAATTTAGTGGTTAGACGATTACCATACTCTGATTCTTCATCCCATGTGGTAACCGATAGAACTGGCTTTTGGATATGCTACGCACCCACCTTGGTTGATGACCACTGCGGTAATAGAGGAAGAAATTGCCAGATGTAGGTTTAACATAATTTTTAGTGTAAATATGGACACCTTCATGACACAATTCTAGATCCATAAAGGCCAATACCTGAAGCTCACAGACATGGGTAAAAGAGAGTCCTAACTCATTATGGTTACAGTATTCAGCAAATGTATTCACAAGTGTGGCAGGGCCATCCCAATTGATGACAATATAGTTGATGTATCTGCCATAAAACATTATGTTAATAGAAAAGGGATTGTTTTACCAGATAGAAAAGGACTCCCAATACCCCATGGTGAGGTCAGTATACCTGGCGGCAAAGTTGGCCCCTATGGGTATGTAATTAGGTAGTTGCTTTGTTTTCTAGATTTTGAATATGAATAAAGTATATTTTTATATAAGGATACAGTGCCGAATTGTCTCCCAGGTCCCATATGTTTATGGTAATCACACAGCAATTATCTAACTGTTGAGGAGGAGCCATAGTCAGGTTTTTATCTTTTTCTATTTTCACAATTTCTTTTTTCTTTTTCCTCTCCTTTATGTATATACATATTGATCTGGAGGAAACATTTTATTGTGTATTTTTATTGTGTTCCCTTATACCAAGAAACATTAGTTGGTGGCTCCCAGACAGCAAGTCTACATTAGGGGAGTAAGGAAAAGATGAGTATAAGTTGCATAGTTACAAAGTTATTTAGGTAAAAAAAAGTCCATCTAGTTCAACCAATAGAAAAGAAAAATAAATAGAAAATCTCCACACAACCCTTTAAATACAGTTGATCTAGGGGATAGATAAAGAAAACCCTACACATCATGGTCCAATTTGCTCCAGCCGGGGGACCAAAAAAAAAATCTTTCCTGATCCTCAAATGGTAATCAGATATTCCTTGGATCAACAATCTCTGGTGTTATTACCTATAAATAATTAATACCACGTTATATATTGTGCATTTAGGAAGTACAAAGCAATCAACAGTGCTGGCCATAACTAGTTCCTGAAGGAATATATTCCACATTTTCACAGTTCTTACTGTGAAGAAGCCTTTTGGTATGTTGAGGTTTCATTTCCTTCTCTTTTTTCCTCCTTCTTTTCCTGTAAAATTACCTTAAAATCTAAGTTTAGGTTTTTTTTTTTAAATCAGCACACGTATCCTTTGTGCTGGTTGCTGCTATCTTAGTTGAAATCTGAAGTCCTCTGCACCCCATTTACCCCAAAGCAGTGATGTTCTGGTCCTGCGAGGGCTAATACAGGTGATGGATCTGTCATAGGCATTGTCCAGAGTGCCGATTATACCTGCCCTTTCTTCCCTCCTTCTCTAGTCATACAAGCTGTGATATACCTTCAACCAATGAAAAGTGCTCTATGAATGGAGGAAGCGCTGATAAATGCAAGATTCACCTCGTTCATTCATTAAGCACATTTTATGACCATGACTGTCTGTGACAGGCCCAGCGGCTGTATTAACTCCCACAGCACCAAAAAATTGCCACCTGCAGGGTTATGGGGGTAAAGGACCTTGGATATCAACTAATACAGTAGCCACCAGCACAAGGGACACTTCACATTGAATGTAAGTACTGTCCCTTGTGCTAAGGAGCAAATTTGCCGTGAGGCAAACAAAGCGTTTGCCTAGGGCGGCACTTTTCAGGGGAACTGACACTTCCTTCCACTAACACCAATGATGGAGCACTATTCCTCCCACTAGCACCAATGATGGGGCATTATTCCTCCCACACTGACACTAATGATGGGGCATTATTCCTTCCACTGACACCAATGATGGAGCACTATTCCTCCCACACTGACACTAATGATGGGGCATTATTCCTCCCACACTGACACAATGATGGGGCCACTATTCCTCCCACTGACACAATGATGGGCACTTATTCCTCCCACACTGACACACTAATGATAGGGCATTATTCCTCCCACTGACACCAATGATGGGGCACTATTGCTCCCACTGACGCCAATTATGGGGCACTATTCCTCCCACTGGCACCAATGGTGGGGCACTATTCCTCCACTGACACCAATGATGGGGCACTATTCCTTCCACTGACACCAATGAAGGGGAACTATTGCTCCCACTGACACCAATGATGGGACACTATAGCACCCACACTGACACCAATGGTTGGGTACTATTCCTCCCACTGACACCAATGATGGGACTCTATTCCTCCCACTGACACCAATGATGGGACACTATTCCTCCCACTGACACCAGTGATGGGGCACTATTCCTCCCACTGACACCAGGGCTGGGGCACTATTCCTCCCACTGACACCAGGGATGGGGGCACTATTCCTCCCACTGACACCAGGGATGGGGCACTATTCTTCCCACTGACACCAGGGATGGGGCACTATTCCTTCCATTGACACCAGTGATGGGGCACTATTCCTCCCATTGACACCAGTGATGGGGTACTATTCTTCCACTGACACCAATGATGGGGCACTATTCCTCCAAATGACACCGATAACAGAATAAAATAAGAGGTGGAGCTCTAATAGGAAGAGGTGGGGCCTAAAGAGGAAGGGATGGAGTTTACAGATGAAGGGGTAGATCTTAAACAGAAAGGGGTGGGCCAAATTTAGATGCGGGGGTGCCCAATTTTAGTCTTGCCTGGGGCAGCACAAAACCAAAATACACTACTGCTTGTGCT